GAAGAATAGTATAAACTGTAATGATACTCAAGTCAGACACTTAAACAAAGTATCCTTTACGTTTGTTCATACCATGGATGATTCTGGGACTCCTTGAACAGTAATAGAAAAAATAACATATTTTAAAGCCATGTACTTACTTTCAATGAACAAATAGTTGATTGAAAAGAGTCAAACAAGTTTCAAAAAAAAAATATTATATATAATCCATACAATTCTACCTGGTTTTAACCTTTCCTATTTTTTGCTAAAATCCCCTTGAACATTCATCTGATTTGTACTGCATAATTTCTAATAATTTTTTTCAATTTGTTTTCAACAAAGTAAATATAATTTAACGAGGTCGGAAAGGATAATCATGTGTGAGGTGATGGGGTCTGCCACCTTCTATTCACATAAACCTGAATGGCTATAAAATACATATTAATTCATTAAAGTTAAAATTAAAACTTAAAAAGTGTTCTCTACTGATATTTAGATAAATCTCTTAGCTCCTTCACAAAGATGAACAGCTTATTAGTTGTTCATTCTTCCTAAAATCTTTTTGGTCTCCCTTCTTCAGGGTTCCAGAAGAATCATGGATTTCACTTGTGTAGGTAGTACTTTGTGAAGTCAGACCACTTCTAATGAACTGTCATCTCCAATTTGATTCTTCATAATCAGTATCTAACTTTTCTTGAATGCTTACTTGATGTAGTAGAATGTGTCAGGGGTTTCATATACTAGAATGTGTCTAAAACTTAGTCTCCATCCTTCAGAGGGTGTTGCTAATAAGCTAGGGATGTCTGCAAAATGAACATGTCTGTATGCATGAGCACACATCTACACATGTGTGTGCCCACACACTTACACATACACACAAAGTTCTGGTTCCCAATAATGGTACAAACAGTCTGTTTTTTAGAAAAGTGTGGAGGAGCATGCAGGTTCTGACAGCAGAATTACTTGGGAAAGCCTCCTAGAAAGATAATACTAGTCTGGTAAGAAAAGGTAGAAATTTAGGCAGGGAAAGCAGAGGAGAAGCATAAAAAAGAAAGGACAAAGAGGCAGACAGCTTGAGGTCAAATAAATGCCTTAGTTTGGCAAAAGTTTTCATTCAGGGGCACCGTGAAAGTAAAAATTGGAGTGGAAGGAAAAGGTTACAATATGGACTGTGAATTATGAATGATAATTGGGCATCTCTTCTTCTCCACAATTAAAAAGAAGCCCTAGACCATATCTTTAACATCTTCTCACCAACCTCAGGTATATATACGTATTTTACTTTGAAGAATTGTATGATCATGGAGTTGAATAAAAGACTAAACCCAAAATATTCAGTGTTTTTCCTTGACTCTAACAATATTTAGGGTACTCGATTCTGCAAGGAAAATGTTGAATTCTTTACGTTCTCTCTTGAGCCTTTCTTCTTGTGTCCTCTATTTGTCGTTGTGGGATTTTTAAGTAGACATGATGCTCCCTAATTTTTCTCTTTGTCCCCAGCATTCTATCAGTCACCCTGTTCTTGTATTTCTTTTCACAGCACTTCATGTATGACTTCTTTACTCTCCACTTCCAGACTTGTGCTTATGTCAGACACTACATATAGTAAGAATTAACATTCTTCCAGTCTCTCCCAATTCAACTCTACATAAGTTTCACTAAGTCACAGTTCATTCAGAACATTTCCAGATTACTCTTCCTAAAGCAAAGCTCGGATTGTGTCAAACTCAATCTCACAATACTAACCAGCTCCATACCTGCTAAAACAAACACCATAGCTTGATATTGAAGTCACTCAACAGTCTGGTCCCACTTCATATATAATATATGAATATATAATATATGAAAATATAATATAAATTATATTTTCCTTTATATATTCTAAATTCCGGTCAAAGCTATTATTAAAAATGAATACTTAGTGTTTTTAAGGCATTTATCTTTAGTTCCTGATTTTTGGTTGGTATTGTTCTATTTGAATTGCTCATTGCCTACAACTTATAATGCTCTCTTATCTCAGGAATTCTTTGTCCCACTGACTCTAAGTAGTGCACTACCTACAAAAAGGAAGAAAATAAGAGGAATTGTCAAGAAAACTAACTTCTAACTTATGGAGTCCCTAAAACAATGTATTAAAATGGAAAATACAAAAAATATTTTTATATTCTATAGTCTCATTTAGGGTAACAACGTGGCTTTGCAATAGGTAACATAAATTAGTGTGTATTTATACAGCACCATAAGAGACACAGGGAACAATTATTATGTTGCAGGGGCACTCTTTTCATTTGCAAGAATCTTATGAGGTAGGTAGTATTATTACGTACCTCATTTTCAACTGAGAAAACTGAGGAAAGAAATGTTAAGGAAATTGCCCAACCCCACTTGGCTATCAAGTGCTGAATCTGGATTTGCAACCCTGAAAATCTGGCATCTGAACCTGAATACTAACACCCTTAGGCCCTACTCCCCTTCTTTACCACATTCAAAATAAGTACCATGACTTCATTTCGGAATACATAAATGTACTATTTCAGTGTCTTATAAAATCCTTTCACTTTCGTTTCATTTCCAAAGTACTTTGAAATGCATTCAGTTATATGCAACCAAATTTTGATGGAGGGAATTAGATCAATGTTTTTTCCTTTGCCTCAAAAAACACACAAAATGGCTTAAAATTTTAAAGTACAAGCATCTTAAAACTTTACAAAGGTGAAGACAGAGAATACTGAAGTGATGATATTCCATCAATATTTGACATCTAATATACAAAAAATTAATGACAGTAGCAGAAACAGATTTAAGAATGAATGTTGACTCAATATTTTACAAGGTAATTAAAATTTTGATTATAATTTATATAATTTAGAAAAAGTCAAAATTTGGGTTCCTTCTAATTTATTTTTTTCAGAAATCTATTTCCAAGAAGCTGAGGAGAGTTTTCCTTTCATCTATGGAAAGTAAACACAAGTATTTTCACATGAACTATTTTATATAAGCATAAAATATATCATATACTATGAACACTTTAACTGTATATAATAGCAGCAGCATATCAGACATTAAAGATACAATGTTTAGATATTGCTTTACATATAGTATTATTTCTCTGAGATATTTCAGAATTAAACTTTAATTAAATTAATAATAACTGAAAAATCTGAAATAGCAATTGTCAAATGAAAAATACTACTAACTTAACAATGCCACAATTTAATCAATAATCAATGCCTGATTATTATTTCAAGTGCTAAATATAATGTTTAATAAACTGTTTTATTAAATCATTAATTTTTTTATTTTAATATTCACAGCATTGGACAATAACATTCAAGAAATACTTATTTACACATCCTGTATAAATGGTTTGTAACAACCACTATACACTGCATATGAGTGCAGGGAGTTGCATCAACAGCTTAAACACTTTTATTATGAACATCTTTTACTTCTCTGAAATAGGTCTCTTTTTAAAGGGGGAAAACAGGATCTAACTCTTGTTTGCTCTTTAAAGTTTTATTGTTTTAGCATCTTATTCAGGAAGTGAGCATTAGCATACTCAGGAGAACCTCTGAAAGTAAAAGGCCTCAAGCTACCCACAGAATGGCTGAAGGATAAAGCAGGATATGAAAACTTCTGTCTGACTGCTCACTTTCCTCATTTTAGAGTACTGCTACTCTCAAGAGCATATATTCATGTTCTTTCTACTTCCAGTTTTATTACTTCTTTTGTATTATTTAATACATCTAAAGACACTTCCAAAAGACACATTTTTCCATTTTGAAGAAGTAATGGTTTGGAACCTGATAAAACACATTAATGTTCACAGTGTGTTTTTTGCAGGTGATAGAGCAAAAGTGCTATAAAGTGATTAAAGCACAGGATGTTGAAGATGTTCATACATCAAGCAAAATAAAACGCTTAAAAAGTAAACACAAATAATATATTGTGAAAATTCAAGTAAAATCAGGCACATAAAAAAGCACATTTATCTTTTGAAGCTTTGACTACTATTTAATGGAAAAATAGAGGAAGAAGATATATAAATGACGGAAAGTACCAATGTTACTTAAATAACTTGCAATTAGAAGTATACGATGTTTAATTCTAGGAAGTATGACCTTGAATAACAACTCAACCTAACAACTGAATGGTGTACACATTTCAGTATTCAGACTGTCATTTTTTTTCCCTCTGAATTCTAAGTTCTACCAAGGTCAACACTATTTAGTAAACAAGAAACTGATATGCTTGACACTACTGAATAAGGCCAGGCCTTTTTTAAAGTGTCATACACATTTCTGAAATCTACAAAACATCAATTTTTAATACGTCTACTCTCTCAGCTCCATTAAAAAAGATGGTAGGGGAAAGATTTTAGAGTAATTAATGATATAGTTAGCTGCTAAATATTAATAGGAATCGTAGTCTTGCATAAAATATAACATATAAACCTTGCCAATACAGACGCACCAGTAATTAAAGTTGAATATGTAATTACACTGATTTATAAGACAGGCAAAAAGTTACACTTTACTAGCTTCTATGTAAACTGTGGGTAACAGTTAAACTTTGCATTTTACGGTTTATAAAAATGGGCACTATCTTGACTACAGTTCATAAATGGTTTAGAGACCTGTAATAGTAGTAAAAATTATGACAACTTATTCCATCATGAATATTCTTATTGCACCATACAAACCAAACTGTGATAATGACCCAGAAGATACAGATTCATCTTAGACCCTGTTTAACGCCCAAGAGAATGTTAGTAGTACTCAGCATTTGTAGGGGACTGCTAGAACAATAATTATAGGGTACTTGAGAGAATCTAAAAGATGTATTAAAACTGATTTTGATACACTTTTTCATATTATGAATATGGTACAATTTAACTCCACTTAAACTTGTATTTTTAACATATACAAAATTAAAAACTGCAGAAAAACACGACATTTTAGAGGCATATGAATACAGTTTTTTTTTTTTCTGTTAGGGAGTCTATTAACAACACTTACATGTGTGGCTGAGGTGAGCAGCCCGGACTGCTGTTCCCATTGCTGTCGATGTGATCC